ATATCTCGCTGATTAGCCAATGGGAAGGGTAGCGGACGTACGCTAATTACCATGTTTCTCTTTTATTAGAGTGGATTGATTGGGTTACCAATGAGATCAAAGAAGAAATTAAAAACATCCTGGACTAATGACAATGAAAACAGAACAATCCAAAACCTATGGGACACAATGAAAGCAGTCCTGAGAGAAAAGTTTATAGCTCTACTGGCCTATCTCAGAAAATAAGAAAAAATGGTAGTAAATCATCTAACTCTACATCTCAAAGAATTAGAAAGAGAGCAACAAGAAAACCCCAGAGTGAGCAGAAGGAAGGAGATAATAAAGATTAGAGCAGAAATAAGTGACATAGAGACCAAAATAACAATACAGAAAACCAATGAAACCAAGAGCTGGTTCTTTGAAAGGATAAACAAGATTGACAAACCTCTAGCCAGGCTCACCAAGAAGCAAAGAGAGAGGACCCAAATAAACAAAATCAGAAATGATAGAGGCGAAATAACAACAGACCCCACAGATATACAAATGATTGTTAAAAAATACTATGGACAACTCTACTCCAACAAACTAGACAACCTGGAGGAAATGGACAAATTCCTAGAAAAATACAACATTTCAAAACTCAATCAGGAAGAATCTAAAAATCTCAATAGGCCAGTAACTACGGAAGAAATTGAAGTAGTCATCAGAAAGCTTCCAGCATACAAAAGCCCAGGACCAGACAGCTTCACAGGGGAGTTTTACCAAACATTCAAGGAAGAACTAAAACCTTTCCTCCTCAGACTACTACAAAAAATCCAAGAGGAAGGAACACTTCCAAGCTCATTCTATGAAGCCAGCATCACCCTAATACCAAAACCAGGTAAAGACAACATAATGAAAGAGAATTACAGGCCAATATCCCTCATGAACATACATGCCAAAATCCTCAACAAAATCTTAGCAAATCGGATCCAGCAGTACATCAGAAAGATCATACACCATGACCAAGTAGGATTTATCCTAGGGATGCAAGGACGGTACAATTTCTGCAAATCAATAAACGTGATAAGTCACATAAACAAATTAAAAGAAAAAAACCACATAGTCATATCAGTTGATGCAGAAAAAGCATTTGACAAAATTCAACACCCATTTTTGATAAAAGCTCTCAGCAAGGTGGGAGTAGAAGGATCATACCTCAACATAATAAAAGCCATATATGACAAGCCCACAGCCAACATCATACTCAGTGGACAAAAACTAACACCATTTCCCCTAAGAACAGGAACAAGACAGGGATGCCCCCTCTCACCACTTCTGTTCAACATAGTACTGGAAGTATTAGCCATTGCAATTAGACAAGAAGAAGAAATAAAATTCATCCAAATTGGAAAAGAGGAAGTAAAACTGTCCTTATTTGCAGACGACATGATATTATACATACAAAACCCTAAAGACTCCATCAAAAAACTACTAGACTTAATACATGAATGTGGCAAAGTAGCAGGATACAAAATTAACCCCAAGAAATCTAAGGCATTTTTATACACCATAGTGAACTTTCAGAAAGAGAGACTAAAAAAAAAATCCCATTTACCATCGCACCAAAAAAATTAAGCTACCTAGGAATAAACTTAACTAAAGAGGTAAAAGACCTCTACTCAGAAAACTACAGGATGTTGAAAAAAGAGATAGAGGAAGACATAAACAGATGGAAGAACATACCGTGTTCATGGATTGGTAGAATCAACATCATTAAAATGTCCATACTACCCAAAGCAATCTATAAATTCAATGCACTTCCCATTAAAATACCAACGGCATACTTCACAGATCTAGAACGAACTCTCCAAAAATTCATCTGGAATAAAAAAAGACCCCGAATAGCTGCAGTGATCCAGAAAAAAAAACAAAGTAGGTGGGATCTCAATACCAGATATCAAGCTGTATTACAAAGCTACTGTTCTCAAAACTGCCTGGTACTGTCACAAGAACAGACAAATAGATCAATGGAATAGAATAGAGAACCCAGAAATTCGCCCGAAACAATATGCTCAATTAATATTTGACAAAGGAGGCAAGAACATACAATGGAGTCAAGATAGTCTCTTCATTAAATGGTGTTGGGAAAATTGGACAGATACATGCAAGAAAATGAAACTAGACCACAAACTTACACCAGACACAAAAATAAACTCAAAATGGATAAAGAACTTAAATGTACGACGAGAAACCATAAAAATTCTAGAAGAATCCAAAGGCAACAAAATCTCAGACATATGCCGAAGCAATTTCTTCACTGATACAGCTCCTAGGGCACTTGAAACGAAAGAGAAAATGAACAAATGGGACTACATCAAAATAAAAAGCTTCTGCACAGCAAAAAAAAAACATCAACAAAACAACAAGAAAGCCCACTGCATAGGAGAATGTATTTGCCAATGTCATATCCGATAAGGGCCTAATCTCCAAAATTTATAGGGAACTCATACAACTTAACAAAAGGAAGATGAACAAGCCAATCAAAAAATGGGCAAAGGATCTAAATAGACACCTTTCAAAAGAGGACATTAAGAAAGCCAAGAGACATATGAAAACATGCTCAAAGTCACTAATCATCCGAGAGATGCAAATCAAAACAACAATGAGGTACCATCTCACACCTGTCAGACCGGCTATCATCAACAAATCAACAAACGACAAGTGCTGGAGAGGATGTGGAGAAAAAGGAACACTTGTGCACTGCTGGTGGGAATGCAGACTGGTGCAGCCACTATGAAAGACAGTATGGAGTTTCCTCAAAAAACTAAAAATGGAACTCCCATTTGACCCTGTGATCCCACTTCTAGGAATATATCCCAAGAAACCAGAAACACCAATCAGAAAGGATATATGCACCCCTATGTTCATAGCAGCACAATTCACCATAGCTAAGATCTGGAAACAGTCTAAGTGCCCACCAGTAGATGAATGGATTAGAAAACTGTGGTACATCTACACGATGGAATACTATGCTGCTGTAAAAAAGAAGGAACTCTTACCATTTGCAACGGCATGGATGGAACTGGAGAGCATTATGCTAAGTGAAATAAGCCAGTCAATGAAGGAAAAATACCACATGATCTCACTCATTCATGGATAATAAAGACCATTATACACTTATGAACAAAAATAGATACAGAGGCAGAGCTGCCTCAAACAGACTGTCAAACTACAGCGGGAAGGCCGGGGAGTGTAGGGGGCAGAAGAGGGGGGTAAGAGATCAACCGAAGGACTTGTATGCATGCATATAAGCATAACCAATGGGCATAAGACACTGGGGGGTAGGGGAGGCCAGGGGTTGTCAAGGGCAGGGGAAAAAAGGAGACATATGTAATACCCTTTGTAATACTTTAGCAATTTAAAAAAAAAGAAGTGATTTCCCCCCAATAAATCTAAAACCCACCTGGCACCATACATAATTATTATAATGTCTTTTATTAAGAGGTTTGGTTTCCATTAAAAGCTCAACTACCCAGAAAGAAAAAGAAATGTGTTTGCTTTTCAAGTGTGAGGACATGGCCCAGGCTGTCTTTCTCAAGGAGGCTCAGGCTACCTGGTGTCCTCTAGCATTATCACCTCTGAGTCCAAGCTCCTTTCTACCCAAGATAGGAAATGCTTACCCTTCACAGTAGATGTATAAATAGGGCTTTGATTCATGAATTAATTTTCTTTCCTGTGGCAGGCATAAATTATGTTTTCAGTTCTCTAACATCTAACTTTTAGGAGTGACTGCTAGATGAGAGCTTCAAATACACAATCTATAGTAATAAAAGCATAATATGCTAATTAGACCGGACAGCCAAATGACCTTCCAGATGAAGCCAGGGCTGCAAGGGCCGAGGCAAGCTGCCATGGCTGCTAGGGCTGAGCCCCTTGCATGAATTTCGTGCATCTGGTCTCTAGTACATATAATAACAGTACAATAGCCATAATTATAGACATTCAGATACTATTTGAAAAATATTTATGCCTCCATTGCTCTTATAAAGGGTGTCCCAAAAGTCATGCAAGAAGTAATTTTGGTAGAAAACATAGGTTTAGCCCTAGCTGGGTTGGCTCAATGGATAGAGTGTCGGCCTTCAGACTGAAGGGTCCCAGGTTCGATTCTGGCCAAGGGCACATGCTTGGGTTGTGGGCTTGATCCCCAGGATGGGGCATACAGGAGGCAGCCAATCAATGATTCTCTCTCATCATTGATGTTTCTATCTCTCTCTCTCCCTCTCCCTTCCTCTCTAAAATCAATAAAATATATTTTTAAAAAAAGAAAACACAGGTTTATAATTAAAAATTGTAACTTTTTTATTGATTCATAAAGTATACAGTATAGGGTTATGCATGGAATAGCGTATCGGGTAAATGGCCTCCACGGCACAAAAAACTGGATTATCATGTCGTGATAGAGAGCACCATTAACTGTTATTGCCTGAGCAGCTGCATTTTGGTCATGGAAAATTTCAACAAAAGAATGCGTATGTGCCAGCAAAGCTGTGGAGGCCATTTACCCGATATGCTATTCCATATGTAACCCTATACTGTATACTTTATGAATCAATAAAAAATTTACAATTTTTAATTATAAACCTGTGTTTTCTATCAAAATTACTTCTTGCGTGAATTTTGGGACACCCTTTACCTTCAACATACTTTCACACGAATATATTACCAGATCGAGAGCAGTTAATAGTATAGTTACATTAAATCAAACGAGTCCCCTGACTCAGAAGGCATTTGGGTCATGCTAGTGCCCCAGGATGATGGTCACAAACTTGGATTGTCAAAGTGCAAGAAATGCATGCTAATAGATATTTCCAGGACATAATGAGAAACCAATTGGGGTTTACTGAGAGATTCACTTAACCCTAAGGAATAAAATGAGATACATCCCTCTTGGAGAAAATTTTCACCTAATTCAGTAGGCGTATATCTCGAAGGGCATGAAGAGTTTGCGGGCTTAGAGTAAATCAGAAAATTCCACTGACCTGTGACTGATAACATCACCGAAGTCAAGTGTCCCAACTTGTAAGCTCCCTTTTCAGGCTTCTGAATGACGCAGCTATATATGCCCTTGTCGGATGGGCGCAGACCCAGGATCACAATGAAAGGGTTACTGATGATGTTGGCTACGGTGCGGTTCTTATACTTGGGCCACACTTCCATTTTTCCGGAAACGACACTCAGCACCATATCACTATTATTTTTTTGCCAGTAGATGCGAACTTTTGTCAGTTCATCAGTGGAAATGTTGTAATCACAGGATAGTACTGCCCTGTCATTCACCGGCTTGGTCACCTGGATGATGCCTAAGAAGAGGCAAATAGAACAAGATTTTATATGTTTAGTAAATATAGATTCCTGCACAAGTAGGAATTCAGAGTTGGCAGTAACAGTGTTATATCTTGTGGCTAAGCATATTCAAATGATTCATTTTGATTTTTTTTTTTTTTAGATGCCAATGCTGTTTTTTTCTTCATTTTTAAAGTTGACACCCTCCAGCCTGCACCCGCCCCCCTCCCAGGACCTCACTGCCCCATAAAATTTGCCATAGTAAGTATTTTTAAGAGTACAGTTCAGTAGTGCTAAGTATATTCACGTTGTTGTGAAACAGATCTCCAGCACCTTTCTATCTTGCAAATCTGAAACTCTGTCTGTATGTGTTCAACAATACCCCTTTCCCTCCACGCCCTGCTCCCTGACCCCTGGTATCCAACACTCAGCTTTATATTTCTATGAAATTGACTACTTTAGATACTGCATAGAAGTGGAATCATGTAGTATTTTGGTCTGTTGTTTTTTTAAATATATTTTTTATTGATTTCATAGAGGAAAGGAGAGGGAGAGAGAGAAACATCAATGAGAGAGACACATCAATAGGCTGCCTCCTGCACCCCCAGCACTGGGGATCAAGCTTGCAATTCGGGCAAGTGCCCTGATTGGGAATTGAACCTGGACCTCTTGGTTCATGGGACGATGCTCAATCCACTGAGCCACTCCAGCTGGGCTTTTTTTTTTTTTTTTTTTAAGAACAGTTTTATATTCACATCAATATTAAGCAGAAGGTACAGAGATTTACCTTATACAGTGTGTCCCCACACATGGCTTAGCTTCCCCATTATCAACATTCTGTACCTCAATGGTACATTTGTTACAACTCATGAACCTACAAGGACACATCACTATCCCCAAATCCTTGTTTATGTTAGGCTCACTCTTGGTGTTATACATTCTACGGATTTGGACAAACTTATAATGACATGTATCCACCATTTCAGCATCATGCAGAATAGTTCACTGGCCTAAAAATCTTCTGTGTTCTGTCTATTCATCCATTTCTCACCCTAACCCCTGGCAACCTCTGATTTCTTTACCACTTTCATAGTTTTACCTTTTCCAGAATGTCATATAGTTAGAATAATACAGCATGTAGCTTTTTTTTCAAATTGTCTTTTTAAAATAATTCTTTATTGTTGAAAGTATTACATATGCCTCCTTTTTACCCCATTGACCCCCTCCAGCCCGTCCCCTCCCCCCGCACCCCCCTCCACCTCACTGCCCCATTGTCTGTGTCCTTGGGCCATGCGTATATGCAAACAAGATCCTTTGTTGATTGCCTCCCACCACCCACCTTCCCGCTGAGATTCCAGACTCTGTTCATGCTTGAGTCTCTGGATCCACTCCTTTCATCAGTTTGTTACTTAGATCCCACATATAAATGAGTTCATGTGATACTTGTCTTTCTCTGACTGACTTACTTCACCTAGCACAGTGGTTCTCAACCTTCCTAATGCCGGGACCCTTTAATACAGTTCCTCATGTTGTGGTGACCCCCAATTTCATTGTTACAAATTGAACATAATTAAAGCATAGTGATTAATCACAAAAACAATATGTAATTATATATGTGTTTTCTGATGGTCTTAGGCAACCCCTGTGAAGGGTCGTTTGACCCTCAAAGGGGTCGCAACCCACAGATTGAGAACCGCTGACCTAGCATGATACTCTCCTTTGGTGTTGTTTTTCTAAAAATTGATTTGAGGGAGAGAGAGAGAGAGAGAGAGAGAGAGAGAGAGAGAGAGAGAAAGAAAGAACTGAGTCACACTGGCCAGGGCAGTATTTGTCTTGTTGTGACAGGCTTATTTTACTTAGCATAATGTACTTAAGTTTCATCCATGTTTTAGCATGTGCCAGAATTCCTTCCTATTTTAAGGAGAATAAGATAATGATGATAATGAATTCTTTACCCATTTATCTCTCGACAGACAGTGAGGAAGAAGGTCCACTAGTCCCATTAGAAGAAGGGCTGTAGGAAACCTAGCATATGAGCCCAACCACAGGTTAGACATGTACTCGGCTCCACAGGAATCTGGAAGTCATAGTTAAGACATGTGAGATCTTTAAGCAATTTTCATGATTATTCATTTGTACAGATGGTCTTATTTTACAGAGGAGGAAACGAGGCCTTGGAAAGCAAACTGCTCCAGTTTTACATTTTCTGGCCAAAGATTTTCAGGCCGCCCTAATCGGTTTGGCTCAGTGGATAGAGCGTCGGCCTGCAGACTGAAGGGTCCCAGGTTCAGTTCCGGCCAAGGGCATGTACCTTGGTTGTGGGCACATCCCCAGTAGGGAGTGTGCAAGAGGCAGCTGATCGATGTTTCTCTCTCATCGATGTTCCTAACTCTCTATCCCTCTCCCTTCCTCTCTGTAAAAAATCAATAAAATATATTAAAAATTTCATCTGCTATGCTTTAGCAAAAAAAAAAAAAAAAAAAAAAAAAAAAAAAAAAAAAAAAAAAGAAAAAAAAGATATTCAGGCCACTCCCCTCGTTTACTGGTTTTCTCAACTTCAGAGCCCAGATCTAGAATAAGTAAGCCAGCACTGCTGGCAGCCCAGCTGGGCCCCACCACCAAGTGCTTTTGCTTTGAGAAACAGAGTCCTTTCCCCCCAGCCCTGGACTGACCCCATGACTTCAGATTGAAATGATTCCCATCATCCCCACCAGACAAGGCCTTGTTAGCATTCTGGACCATGTCTGACCTCTTCAGCTACCCTAAACAGACCTACATCCATCTTCCTATCTCTTTGCCATCTGCAATCCATGCAGCAGTTGCCCTGCAACCTAGTTTTGCTAGAGGGCCCCCATTAAAAACATTCTACCCATTTTCCCATCAGCATATTGCAGAAATGCCAACATTTCAGCCTCCAAACTCCATCTCTTTGTTAGCTCCTGAGCACTCATCAGGAGCACCAAAATCCCTTCTCAGACTATATTTTATGAATTTTTCATTCAGAAGGCATGGCCACTTTTCCAATGCTGTGCAGAGTCCCTCTGAGCCCCAAGCTCTTTCACAACTGCCCTACTCACACCCACACCATGCCCAGACCCAACAGACCCCCTGGGGAGGCCCATGTCTAGGGGTTTTAAGTAATAGGTTAGTTGTTCCCAAAAAGAATCCAGGATTTCTAACTGATTTTGACATGTTGTAAAAAGAGAAATCTTAACTGAAAGCAACCTACTTTTTTAAAACAAAATTTATTGGGGTAACATTGGTTAATAACATAGAAATGTCAGGTGTACAAGTTTAGAATACGACATCTAACGGTCTAGCCTCCTTCCATCCCCAGGTATTTGATCCCCTTTACCCTCTTCATCCTCCCCTCACCCCCCTTTCTGCACTAGTAACCACCATTCTGTTGTTTATGTTGTATCTATGAGTTTTGTTTGTTTATTATGCATTTATTGTTTTTGTTTTATATTCTACATAAGAGTGAAATAATTGTTTTTGTTTTATATTCTACATAAGAGTGAAATAATACACTTCTTGTCCTTTTTCATCTGACTTATTTCACTCAGCACAATAATCTCAAGATTCATCCATATTGTCACAAATAGAAATACCTCATTTTTTAATGGCTAAGTATTCTATTATACATGTAGTATATCTTCTTTTAAAAAAATCGTTATTATTGAGAGTATTACAGATGCCCTCATTTTCCCACCCACTGTCCCCCTCCACCCTATTCCACCCCACCCCAGGCCTTCACTACCCTATTGTTTGTGTCCATAGGTAATACATACCAGGTATATGCATATAATATCTTTGGTTAATCTATTGCCAACCCTCCCTCCCCACTTCCCTCTGGGATTTTTCCGTCTGTTCCATGTTTCCATGCCTCTGATTCTATTTTATTCATCAGTTTATTTTGTTCATTAGATTTCTTGTTCATTTATTTTGATTTTCACATTCCATTGTTGATAGATATATATGTATTGCAATTTTATTGCTAGTGCCAGGTCTTGGGCCTTTTATTGATAGGTTTGTGCATGCTGACACCAGTTGCTGCTTGTTTGAGAGATTTTAGAAAAGTCTGAAGGCTGAGCCAGGACAGGCCATTCATATGGAAAAGTCACTGCAAACAGCTTGGGTGGGGCTGCAAATTGGATGGGGTGGGATCTCAAGGAATCACCAGGGCAGAGCAAACAGTGTGAGCCATGCTGATGGAAGCTCAGATATGGCTGCCAGTCAGCTTTGTCATGATGGGGAGGTCCCAGCACAGGAACAATGATCCTTGTGAGCACCCCCAGCTGGGAGAAAGCTGCTACCTAATTCCTTCCCTGATGCCAGACAATCCAGTTCCTCCCTGTATGCCCCTGGACCCCCCAAAGTCATTGCCTGGTGCTGGAGCTCAGAGGAAGTGGGACCATGTAAGTACATGTGCCTGCCTTTTATGAGGAACTATCTGAAACTCCAGCAGCCTTTGTGTCACTCAGTCACAATCCTTGCTGATTTTTACAGCCCGAAGTTACGGGGACTTCTCTTCGCAGCTCTGGAACTCTGGGATGAGGGGTCTGGTGTGGAGCTAAGGGCCCCTTGCTTCTCACCAGAGGCCTTGGAGATATCCCTCCCAATTAAAAAAAACAAACAAACACCACACATGGATGTTGGACAAGTCCATTCCGTGCCTCCACCTCTCCTACTAGTCTTGATGTGCTTTCTTCTTTACTTTTCTAGTTGTAGGACTTCCATTCAACCAGATTTCAGGTGGTTCTGAATGATGTTTTTCTGTATTTTAGTTGTAATTTTGATGTGGTTGTAGGAGGTGGTGAGTGCTGGCATTTACATAAACCACCATCTTTGTTCTCTCCACATCTTCTTTAACTAATCATCTGTGGAAGTTGTTTCCATGACTTAGCTATCCTATATAATAAAAGCATAGTATGCAAATTGTCCCCTCAACTGGAGTTCTTCTGGGAGTTCGACCAGGTAGCAGGTTGGCTGGGGGAAGGGAGGGAGGCCCTGGCGCTGGCAGGTGGCCAGGGAAAGGAAGGGAGGCCCCAGCACTGGCAGGTGGCCGGGGAAAGGGAGGGAGGCCCTGGCCGACAGTCAGCAGTCACTAGGGACCCTACCAGTGCATGAGTTTCGTGCACTGGGCCTCTAGTTATAAATAAAGCTGCAATGAGCATAAGGGTACATTTATCTTTACCAAAAAAGTGTTTTTAAATTATTTGGATAGATACCCAGAAAAGGGATTGCTGGTCATATGGTAGCTCTTAGTTCTCTTTCTCCTTCCTCTTGGTTCATTTTTAGGCTCCTATCTTTGAGCTTTCTGATTCTCTGTTCCTTCTGGTCTGCTCTATATTCAATGCTTTCTAATGCATTCCTCATCTCATTTATTGAGTTCTTTAACTTCATAATTTCTATTTGGTTCTTTTTTATAATTTTAATTACTTTGGTAAGGTGTTCTTTTGTTCATTAATTTTATTCCTGAGCTCATCAAATGGCCTTTCTTGTACTTCCTTGAGTTTCTTCATAACTGCAATCTCAAATTCTCTGTTATTTAAATTGCAGTCTTCCATGACTTTGAGTTTGGTTTCTGGGGACTTTTCATTTTCTTTCTGTGCTTCCATGTTACCTTGGTTGCTCATGGCTCTTCATGTTTCTAGGTCTGTGCATTCAAGGAAGGGAATGCTTTCCTTGTTTAGATACTGTTTTGCTATTGAGTAGGCTGCTAGGTAGGTTACTTTCTTTTGTTTTCCAGTAGATGGTGCTATAGCACAAGTCTTTGTTTTCTCTTACTCGTGACATTGCTTAAATTGAGGAAAATGCCCCAGAACCGCTGGAGTGGTGGATGTCTCCTCTGTGACCTGCTCATCTTGGTTAAGGTGAACACCATAATGGAGAACCGGTTTTGTTAGCTTCCATCACTGCCTCCTCATTATTAATGGCAGCTGACCCCACTGTGTTTTTGGAGTTGTCTTCATTACCTCTGTGAGGGTCTGTGGTGATGGGTGGGGCAAGGGAGGCATGTTCATGATTTCACAACTCTGCCTTCCTGTCAGCAATGGCTGCCGGCCTGTTGTGCTGTTTAAGCATCCCAGCCACCTCTACTGGACTCTGCTGCAATGGGAGAAGGGAGGGACACAGCCTCTGATCCTCTTATGCTCCAGGCTGTTGTGTGAGGGCTGCAGCCTGACTTATCACCACTACTATGCTAGCTGGAGCTATGGTGATTGCCGAACCGTGTTCTTTAGTCCCTGTCCTCCCTCCCCTACTCATTCCAATAAACCCACCTTCGGATGCGTGGAGCTCTCAGGAAGACTTTGTGTGTTGAGCAAGGGATCCTTTGTTGAGTTATAGTTGTCTGACTTGTCAATTTAAGGGGAGAAACAAAGAAGCCTTCTTACTCTGCCATGATGCCGATGTTGGTGAAAATGAGCTAATTTCAATGATGGTTCTTAAGAAATTTTTGTCCACTGAGAAGTGTAAGTATTTCTAAAGGTCAGTGACTTGCTTTGTGAGGCCCCCTTACAAGATGCCTATGTTGAGGCAGAACCAGACTGAAAAGAGGAACCAAAAATCTTCTGAGCATTTTGGAATTTCCACCGGGACAGCTTCTATACTTAGGCCCCTGTGCTAGAAACGGCATTTAAACAAGGGCCCAGGTAATTGGTATGCAAAATGAAAGTGTGAGCCGCACTGGGATAGACCATGTCACCGCCCTGCTCAAAACCCTTCCATGGCTTCCGGGTGCCCTCCAAGTAACATTCACATTCCTGACTGTGGCCATCAAGCCCTTACGGAGCCTGGCCTCTATCCCCACAGGTCCCCACCCCTTCAGTTTCTCAGTCCTTGGTTTCTCTTTCTGTTTTCTTCTGTTTTCTCCCCAGTTCACTCTCACCACTCTCCCTTCTGGCAAGGAAAGACAGCGTTTGTTAGTCAGACCTTCAATTGAATGATTATTTGATTAATTTTCATTTTCTTCATTTTCATTTTCATTAATGATCATAAATTCCATGAAAGCAAAAGCCATGTCAATTTTGCTCATCACTTGTCCCCAAGACCGAGAAAAGGATCTGTGCGTAAGAGATGCTCTGTTTGTTGAATTAATAAATGGTTAAATAAAGGAATGAACGCATGTGTCAGATTCATGCTTACTTTTGTGCTTTTGCCCAGACTGTTGCCCCACATAGAATTCTCGCACCACCACCTATCTCCCACCTGCCCAATTGCCCCAGCCCACCCTGGTCTGCTTGATCTTGGGCTCTTACAGTCAGAACCGGGTACTTCACTGCTCTTTACGTGTTGTGACTTTGTTTGCTCATGGGTTCATTTGTGACTCAGAACAGCAACAGTAAAATCTGGATGTAACTACAAAACAGTGATTTTTGTGATCAACCAGTGTGCCACAAGAATTCTTAAAACATGCAATACTAAATAGTCCCTACTATTTAGTCAGGGGCACTGACCTCTTTTCCCTTAGATTGTCAAATAAAACAATGACAACAGACAACACAACAATAGTCTGGTGTGAATGAATCAAAATTACACCTGTTTTTTGGCCAGATTGGCAACAAATATAATACATATTTTGGTGTGCCACAGAATGTTAACATAATTAATTTATGTGTGCCATGAGATGAAAATAGAACAAGGTGCTTTCCTAAATGTTTTTCTTTAGCTCAAAGATTGTCTTCCTTTTGCCTATGATGAATTTTCTGGCATAACTGCTAAAGCCTTAGTTTTCATTTTAATGTGTGTGGCGTTTTTTTTGCTGCTATAATTTTTAATATACATTTTTAATTTTATTAAATTTATTGTTAATGATCTTTTTATATTATCTTTTTTATTGTTTCTCTCTCTGTGTCACACACACACACACACACACACACACACACACACACCTAGGAAGCCTGTACAAATTTTCTTCTAAATATTTTGAAACTTACTTAGACTCTCTAAGACTCTAACTTGGGAGTGCTTTCCCAACTTCCCAGAAGAAAATTGTAACTGTTGGAAATATAATATAACTATAAAATATATACAAAATAGTCAAGTAATCTGTGTCCCCTAACTTCTCTTCCCTTCCCTTTCTTTCTCTCCCTCCCAACTTAGACATTCTGGGCAACACCACAGTGAGACAGGTTTTAAGTAAGAGCTCTTAACACGAGGACTTCTGATATTTGGCTCTTTGTAGACTGGCAAACTGTGGTAGCCAAAGCCTTCTTTTTATTTTGGGGAAACCAGATACTATACTGCTCAGCAGAAAGCAAATCTTCTGCTTTTATTTTATTTATTTATTTATTTTTTATATTTTATTGACTTTTTTACAGAGAGGAAGGGAAGGATAGAGAATTAGAAACATCGATGAGAGAGAAACATCGATCAGCTGCCTCCTGCACACCCCCTATGTGGGATGTGCCCGCAACCAAGGTACATGCCCTTGACCGGAACTGAATCTGGGACCCTTCAGTCCGCAGGCCGATGCTCTATCCACTGAGCCAAACCGCTTAGGGCTATCTTTTTAGGTTTTGTTGTTGTTGTTGTTTTGTTTTTTAAATATATTTTATTGACTTTTTTACAAAGAGGAAGGGAGAAGGATAGAGAGTTAGAAACATCGATGAAAGAGAAACATTGATCAGCTGCCTCCTGCACACTCCCTACTGGGGTTGTGCCCCCAACTAAGGTACATGCCCTTGACCGAAATCGAACCTGGGACCGTTGAGTCCGCAAGCTAGCGCTCTATCCACTGAGCCAAACTGGTTAGGGCTTTTGCTTTGATTTGAAAAATAAAGTCGGGCCCGGTGGACATGTCTCAATGGCTAGGTGTAGACTTATGAGTCAGGTCACGGTTCGATTCCTGCTTGGGGCGAATGCATGGGTTACGGGCTTGATCCCTGGTGTGGAGCATGGACGAGGCAGCCCAGCAATGACTCTCTCTTGTCATTGATGTTTCTGTCTCTTTCTCCCTCTCTCTTATTCTCTGAAATCAATAAAAATATATTAAAAAAAAAAAAAAAGTTGGACCTGGCCAGTGTGGCTCACTGGTTGAGAGTCAACGCATGAACCAGGAGGTCATGGTTTGATTCCAGGTCAGGGCACATGCCTGCTCTATCCCCAGTGGGGAACCTGCAAGAGGAAGCTGATTGATGTTTGTCTCTCATCATTTCTATCTCTCTATCCCTCTCCCTTCCTCTCTCTAAAATAAATATAGATAGATAGATAGATAGATAGATAGATAGATAGATAGATAGATAGATAGAAAAAATAGAGTTTGAGCCATCCTATTGCTAGGATGAGTCCCACCCTTCTGAATAGTCCCCTAAACCTAGCACCTAAGATGAAACAAAAGCCTCCAGAAGATAAAATATTCTTTGCAGAACACACATGAAATACCTATGTAGTAAGTTAAAAATAACTAAAAAAATAGTTTTATTCTAAATCTGATACCACTTAATGTCAGATGCCAGTGTGCACAAAGGGCATCAACACCTAAAGCATAAAAATACACATTAAGCGAAAATTTTAACATTAGGAAGATTATACACCTCAACTGCTTTCTTTCCCTCTTCAAATTAGAAAGATCGTCATTTCTCTAAGCCCTGAAACAATGAACTCAGCCAAGTTGCTTACCTGACGAGAAGTAAAAATGGCCAGCCAGCACCAAAGACTGAAAGAGCTTGAGGTACGAGCGCCTGGAGGGTAGTGTTCTCCACTTTGTTTGACCCATGGCTTCTGCTCCTTACAATGAAAAAACGAAAGCAAACAATTTTGCACCAAGTGAGAACTGGGCACCTTCCAAGCGAGTCCCAGGCTTGTGCAGAAGAAATTCAGTTGCCTCACACAGAGGAGTCAATTGCAAAACACACTGAGGAGAGGCTGATGATGTACCCAGGTCTTTAAAATCCTGAATATAAAAGATTGTGGATTTATTCTGACACCCTGAAAAAGAAGAAGATAAAAGTCACTCAGGAAGGAAGGTCAGTCCACTGTGGCTTGTAAAACTCTCTAGTTGCCTGCCTAAAATAGTCTGGGGATCCTAATCTGAGCCTGCCTGATCCCCTAACTGCCTTTGCCTTGGCCCCTGCACCCAGGACCCAGGCTTTCCTCTTTCGGGTGGCTTTGCCCGGGCAGGCACCTGGGGATCCCGGGCGGCACCGCCTGGGTCCCGGCTTTGTCAGGAAGGATGTCCGGTATGACATCTGGTCTAATTCGCATATTACCATTTTATTAGTATAGATTGTGGTGACATTGGCTTGTGAAACCATACAAGTTTCAAGTGTACAGCTCAATAAAACATCATCTGCACAGGAGGTCACTACATAATACTACAAGGATCAGTACAACAGCGGATATAATCCTTGTATACCTATATGCACCCAACATAGGAGCATATAAATATATAAAGAAGTTCTTGGTGAACATTAAGGAAGAGATTGATAGCAATACAGTCTTAGTAGGGGGTTTGAACACCCCACTGACATCAGTGAATAGATCTTCCAGACATAAAATAAGGCAAATGACATGCTGGATTTGGTAGATTTACTTGATATTTATAGAATATTTCACCCCAAAGAAGCAGAATATATGTTCTTCTCAAGTGCACATGGAATAGTCTCAAAGATAGATCACATGTTAGGACACAAAGTAAGTCTTAATAAATTCAAGAAGATTGAAATTATATTAAGCATCTTCTCTGGCCACAATAGTATAAAGCTAGAAATTACAAAAAAAAAAACCCTAAAAACATTCATACACATGGAGGCTAAGTAACATGTTATTAAACCATGAATGTATTAACAATAGATCAAGGAAGAAATAAAAAGTTACCTGGAAACAAATGAAAATGAACAGACAACAACCCCAAATCTATGGGGCACAGTGAAAGCAGTCCTAAGAGGGAAGTTCTTAGCACTACAGGCCTATCTCAAAAGGCAAGAAAAGCCCTGGCCAGAGTGCCTCATTGGTTAGAGAATCAGCCTGCTCGCCTGATGCTTGCAGGTTCCAATCCCTGCCCCCACTGGGGCACATGTGGGAGGCAACCAACTGATGTGTCACATAGATGTTTCTCTCCCCTTTCACCCACCCTTGCACTCTCTCTAGAATCAATGGAAAAAATATCCTCACTCCTCAGGTGAGGATTTTTTTAAAAAGTAAGAAAAATCTCAAACAATCTAAACCTACTACACCTGAAAGAACTAGAAAAATAACAACAAACAAAGCTCAGAGTAAGTAGAAGGAAGGAAATAATAAAGACCAGAGCGGAAGTAAATAAATGATACAGAGATTAACCAGATTCATCAAGAAAAAGAAGGGAGGACCCAAATAAATAAAATCAGAAACAAAAGAGGAGAAATGACAACTTACACACCAGAAATACAAAGGATTGTAAGAAAATAATATGAACAACTATATGCCAACAAATTGGACAACCTGTGCAAAATGGATAAATTCCTAGAAACACACAATCTTTCAAAACCGAATCAGGAAGAATCAGAAAACCTGAATACAGTACACTGATTACAACTAATAAAATTGAAGCAGTAAAAAAAAAAAAAAATCTCCAGCAAACAAATGTCCTAGACCACAGGTGAATTTTATTAAACATTCAAAGAAGAATTAACACCTGTCCTTCTCAAACTATTCCAAAAAATTTAAGAGGCAGGAAAATTTCTAAGCTCATTTCACAAGGCCAGCATTATTCTAATTCCAAAACCAGATAAAGACACTATAAGGAAAGAAAATTATAGGTCAATATCTCTAATGAACATAGATGCTAAAATCCTCAAAAAAAATTAGCAAACCAGATCCAGCAATACAATGAAAAGATCATACTACATGTTCAAGTAAAATTCATTCTGGGAATACAAGGTTGGTACAATATTCACAAATCAATAAACATGATACATCACATAAACAAAATAAAGGTTAAAAATCACATGATTATATCAATAGATGCAGAAAAAGCATTTGATAAAATCCAGTACCTACTTATGACAAAAACTCTCAGTAAAGTGGGAATAGTGGGATGATACCTCAACATTAAAAAGGACATAAATGACAAGCCCATAGCCGACATCATACTCAGTGAGCAAAAAGTAAAAGCGTTTCCCTTAGGATCAGAACAAGACAGGATCGCTGGCCTTCACCACTCTTATTCAACATAGTACTGGAAACGACTTCCTTCTTAACATATTAACATAGAAAAACAAGTGTCTCACTTCTTAAATACCTTTTCGCAAAAAAATAAATCAGAAAATCTATTAATAAAAGGGGAAGAAAAAAGACATAACAAGCTATCCCATATTAAGATAATAGTAAATTTACTTACGCTGAAGAACAATTTCTCTTGTGTTGAAAATTAAAGTAGGAGGACCCACTTCTGAGATGTTCTCCTTTGGGTAGCTTGAAATGCTGTCAAATTGCTCAGTTGTACTTTAAGTTCTATGTCACAGAGGCGGCATTCCCCTTCCAACTTCCTCTTACTCGAGTTTTCCATCAGGCATAATTAAATAAAAGCACAAGGTATGGTTATGATGATATGATTTGAGGAAGCTCCGAGAGCTCAGTCAGTTTCTTAGACTGATGGGTGGGGCCAACCACACACTGTCCTAAGAGAGCAGCGGGTAGCGAGGGGGAGGGAAGAAAGTGGTTGGAGGGTTGACTTTTGGCTGTAGATGCTTGTGAGCTTTATGGGCTACCTGCTTCTGTTCTAATCCCAAGTTTTGTTTTAGCACCTAGAGTTATCCCTCCCTAGTCATGCCACTGAAGGAATGGACCATCATATGTAGTGGACATCTTTTGGAGAGTACTCAGCTCATAAGGCCACTCTTGATTGCATGCCCACCTCTCCATCCCACCCTCTTCACAGAGTGGGATCCTGGCAGCCGTGGTGAGGGAGACACTGAATGCACCTCAGGGGAGCACAATGACAGAACCAAGGCATGGGGTGAAGAGGATTTAGCCTCTCATCCATCCCATTTCCAACCAATCCCGTTGCCAGCCAGCTTGCTGTGGTTATGTCCTCTGTAGAGTTCTGGAGTGTTCTGTGGGTAAATGGCCGGCCGGTGCTAATCCAGCTGACCTGTTTCGCACAGGTAGAACCTGACAGCAGCGCCTGCCTGGGCCTGCCCCTTTGACTGCTGTTGGCCCTGAGCTTCTCTGTTGCTTTGGTTGGGACCTTTGGAAGTTTTGCACTCAAGTGTGTGCAGTCTGAAAATATGGGAGGAGTTAATGCCTATAGGGCCAGTCTTAACCAAATGGGGCTGGAAGGTGATGGATAACTGCTTTCCCCTTTGTCACCCAGGTGGAGAGTGCCAAGGTACATGATCAAAACTCACTGAACAACACACCAAATGAGTGCATTTCATTACATGTAAATTGTATCTCAAAAAATTTTTTATTTTATTTTTAAAAAGCTCTCAGGCCAAGTCTAGGTCATTACAGCCAGAAAAAATAGGCATAGCAAATAAAAAATTTGAGTAGGTATACAAAATATATTAATGATAATAGAAAAAGTAAAATGGAATAACATTGCTGAGTCACTTAAAAAGAGTCAGGAGACAATTAAGGAAATGAGGCCCATGGAGTTTGGTGCCTCAGTTCTCAGAGCTACTGATATGTTGCTAAACCTGCTGCTGCTAAACTCAGCTCCAGGCTGAGCCATAAACATCCTGGAACCACTGTTCCATGGACATAAGTGGACTCTACCTCTTTGGAGTTTTGAAACCCCCTAGTTTGCATACTGGACTAATCAATCCCTGTTAATCTCGCCAGAAATCCTTCATTTGCATGAAAAAATTACATTTTATGGTTTTTGCCTTAATGAACCCTGCCTTTCTTTGATCACTGTGGCATAGTTTGGGCTGCTCCTTCATAGGCTGCGGGAACTGTACTGTTAGATGGGTGGGATCAGACAGCACCTGGGTTCAGCAACCTTCATATTTGAGTCTGGCTAGGAAAGAATTCAGAGCCAAGACTCCATATTTATTTATAAAATCACAGAGGTAGAAGTAGTAATTTGTAGATGAAATGGGCTTAGGAAACAAGTTACAGAGGTAGAAGCAGGGCCCTTGGAGCTTGGGAGTAAGGAAGGTAATGGTAATGCCTGGGGGAAGGAACGGCGAGATGGGAGGAGGAAGGGAGAGCATGCTGGGTCCTCTGAACTAAGGGTCTTAAGGGTGGAGATTTTAGGGGAGATCCGAGAGGATGATCTCAATAGAATATTCAGCAATTTTCCAGGTGTGTCTTCTCAGGGTCTAGGTCTCCACTGATTGGTTGGTTGGTGCCTGGGCAGGGGTTCATTATTCAATGCAGCTGGTCCTGAGGTCAGCCATGGGGATCTCCTCTCTGGTTTTGTTGCTTTTGTAGGCCTTGAGCTCAAATACAACTGAGGCCTAGAGCTTGTCTCTAGGAAGGGAAGGTTAGGGGGTCCAGCAGGACCTTTGATTTGCCAGGGGAGGAACAGTCCCCTGGGGGTGAGGTCCCACCCTCCAATTGTCCCTTGGTAGGCACCTGGGGCTTTCTGCCCTGGTGACCTCTGTACGTGGCCCATAGTCCTTGCTCTGCTACTGTGTCTAACTGCCTGCCACAGATTTTTTTTTTCCCCAGATGGGTAGAGATACTTTTATAAAACGATAACAGCCACATTTCAGATACAATTTTAAATTTAATTTTACTTGAATTTCACTAAAGAGAAAGACAAGTTGATGGAATTGCTGAATTCATATAAATATTTCCTCTAGACAAGAGGCACTTCCCCTAAAATATCCCTTCAAGACTAAAAAAAAAAAAAAAGAAACCGTGAGAACATTAAAGGTTGCAGTCATGATTATGCTCTCCAAGGACATATTTTTATTTTTGTGTATCTAGATTGACTTCTTGCTGTGAAAGATGAGTCCGTCGGCCCAGCCACACTGGCGTGAACACGCAGTTCTGTGAACATTGAAGCCCTCTGCACCAGTTGGTAAGTACCAGCCACTGCTCTCTCCAGGACTCGCCCTCCCTCCTGGCTGCCCCCCCCCCCCAAACCCCCCACTACCACCAGGACCAACCCCAACCCCCATCTCCTACAGGGGAAAGGGTCCAGGCTCCCAGTCGTCTTCTACACGCACCACTTCGCCCCAAGCAGCTTAGTTTCCAGCAATTTTATATAATGGCGTTAGGTAAGGCTTTGTTTGCAGAAAATGTTCAGTGTGAAAACCATTTGAAAACCCCTGCTCAAGGTCCGCACTCAGGCCCTTGCAAGTCTGCAGTCTGGAATTTCCGAGAATGGACCTGCCACAGATTTTTGTCTCCTTTTGCTCAAATAAATGCTCTGTTCTTTATTCTAGCCTGAACCTCTTCTTGGTACACATATATGTTGATTCTAATTTTTTTTTTTTTAAAAAAAACTGGCACATTCATTTATTTAGACAAAAGTAGTCTTAGTATTTCTTTACTTTTATTAACTCGCAGGATGAAAAATAATATTCAGCTGCCAAATAAATGACAAGAGTTAAAATTAATCCTAGCAACCACCCTAGCGAGTACTAACTATTCTTGTCCGCTTTCACGGGTGAGGGGCCCAGGAAGTTGAAAAGGGCCCTTTTCTAAGCATTTGGCTACATAGCCCGGCAGGAAGAGGCCTCGGCCGGGGCCCACGTGAGTCACCGACGGGCCCTGTGGTCCCCGCCGGCCCGGAGGGCGCTGCAGGGCAGGGAGGCTGCAGCAGAAGGCGCACCGCGGCTGGCTGCTCGGGGCGCGCCCCGCCGGGACAGGCTCCGCCCCAGGCGCGCAAAGCCCGGCTCCCCGCCGCCCTGTGCCATCCGCCCGGAGCGACCAGGCCTCGCCGGGACCCTGAACTCGCCGCGCCAGGCCCCGCCCTAGTCCCGCTCCCCCCTTGTCCGCCACTAGGTACCCGTCTCCCGACTCCCCCCCTTCCCCTTGCGCGCTCCTCTCCCGCCTCCTCCCCCTGGCGCCCCTCTCCCGCCCCTCTCCCGCCCCCTCCCCCTGGCGCCCCTCTCCCGCCCCCTCCCCCTGGCGCCCCTCTCCCGCCCCCTCCCCCTGGCGCCCCTCTCCCGCCCCCTCTCCTGGCGGTGACCAGGTCCCACCAGCGCTCCCTCCCCCCTCCTTCCTCCCCCTCCTCCCCAGGGACCAGGTACACCCGGGTCACAGCGTTTTGGGGGTTGCCCTCCTCCCACGCGGTGACCAGGTTCTCCACCCCCATCCCGGCTGGGACAGACGTGTCCCCCCCCCCCCCACCCCCCGCCCCTCCCAAAAACGTTGAGGTCTGTCGGGAAGCAGCTGAGCAATCTTAGTTTCGATTTTAGAGTCGGGGAGAGAATTGTACTGAGTGGCAGCGGTTCTCAACCTGTGGGTCGCGACCCCTTTGGCGGTCAAACGACCCTTTCACAGGGGTCGCCTAAGACTATCCTGCATATCAGATATTTACATTACGATTCATAACAGTAGCAACAGTACAGTTATGAAGTAGCAACGAGAATAATTTTATGGTTGGGTCACAACATGAGGAACTGTATTTACAGGGCCAGAAGGCTGAGAACCACTGCTAGGGGATGAGCGCGGTCTGAAAGCGGAAGGCTAGGGCAGTTCCATGTGAAAGTTAAAAGGATTTTCCAGCGGAAAGAGGTGGTCATTGTCCCGCCCCCGCTTGCAAGTCACAAAACATATTCGGTGGAGCCAGGAATTACACAAAGGAAGCTGAGGACTTTGGGAGAGCGGGTACAGAGGGACTAACAGCTGGTCCTGTGAAGCCGCCAGCACAGGACCGGAGCCCAGGGAGCATCTGTGGCCTCCTTCCTCCCCCTCACCCCCACCCCCACCCCCACCCCACCCCTCCCCGTCTCCAATTACTAGTATAAATTGGGAAAACCCAGGTCCAGTGTGGATGGCTTACCCACAATCACACAGCCCACTCTTGGCAGACTCAGGTCTAGTGGCCCTCAACTCCAATTTCTGGGCATGTAAATAACGTTTTACAAACATCCTTTGTGAGCTAAGAAATTCAGCATGATCAGGATTGGTATGCTCAGTCTTCATTTACTCTTCCCCAGGTGCTGGCCAGCCTGCCTTCCCAGGCCAGCAGCGTGCAGCTCGGGAAGGACTCTTGGAAGCCCCAGTACTTGGACTATAAACCCTGAGTCAATAGGGTTTAGGTAAGTGGGAGGGAGAATGGGCATCTTCGGTGTGGAAAGAGCTTGAGCTGAGGAGGTGCTAGTCTGCCAGCCATCACAGGTGTTTCGCTGGCCTATGCAGTGGAGGGGATGGGCCCAGTAAAGGCTTTGAACTTGAGTCCTAGAACTTGAGTGCTAAGGCAACAGGGTACAGTGGAGCATTGGAAATGCGCCTGCAGGAGAACCAGCACTGGACCAGGAATAGATTCATGGCGGTTATCTTTGTGGAGCTCCTAGGACTCTAGAAGGTAAGCATTTAGAAGAAAAACAAAATTTAAATATTGCTATTGAAAGGAAGGTTGTGAGAAGGAAGTATTCTAGTTCAGGAAGAGAAAAATCTTTTCCCTGGTTGTATATGAATAATACAAATAGTGCTTATGATGTGCTAA